CATCAATACATAATGGTTCACTGAACTATTAATACCCCATTTTTCAACAATTGGAAACATGTTTTGTGGGATCTAAAGGCCAAGGAATTGATCATGTTACAGGAAGGACATGATTTTGAAAGTGAAAGGAAATGCGAATCCAGATGGTGGAAGGAACTATCAGTGCTGACTCGGAGATCTTTCGTGAACATGTCAAGAGATTTGGGATACTACTGGATAAGGATAACCACCTATATCGCCTTATCTTTGTGCGTTGGAATAATCTTCCATGATGTTGGAACGAGTTACAGAGCCATTTTTGCGAGAGGATCATGTGCTGGTTTTCTCTCAGGTTTCATGACGTTCATGTCCATTGGGAGCTTCCCTTCTTTCTTAGAAGAAATGAAGGTATGAAAAGTTCATTTGATACAAAATTAAAACGTTAAAAACATGTTTACAAGAGGATTGTGGCATTTAGTTCTCTTACCTTTTACCCTCTGGATGCAGGTCTTCTACAAAGAAAGAATGGGTGGTTATTATGGCGTTGGAGTCTACATTCTCTCAAATTTTCTGTCTTCCTTTCCGTTTTTGGCAGTGATGTCCACTGCTACGGGGGCTATAAGCTATTATATGGTTAAGTCTAGTTCAGAATTTTCACACTTTTTGTATATCACTCTTGATCTTCTGGGCTGCATTGCGGTTGTGGAGAGCTCCATGATGGTTATAGCTTCACTGGTTCCCAACTTCCTCATGGGATTGACGGTTGGAGCGGGATATATTGTAAGAGGACCATATACTATATATAATATAATCCCATTTTCAATTGAATGATCGTTGTTGCTGATTTCAGTGTATATGTGTGCAGGGTCTTATGATGATGACTTCTGGCTTTTTCCGTCCGCTCCCTGATATTCCCAAATTCTTCTGGCGTTACCCAATATCATACATCAATTACGGCGCATGGGGATTAGAGGTAAATTTAGAAGCATTACCTTCAAAAGGCCATGATCAAAAGGGTATATGAACTAAATTATCGGGGAGTGAAATTTAGCCTTACTTACTGATTATGGGAATGCAGGGGGCTTTCAAGAATGACTTGATTGGAATGGAGTTTGATCCCTTAGAACCTGGTGACCCAAAACTGAAAGGAGAATTTATCCTCAAAACCATGCTTGGAATTCAAGTTGATAATTCAAAGTGGTGGGACATAGCTGCAATCATGATCATCCTCATATTGCTTAGAGTTCTATTCTTTTTCATTCTCAAATTCAAGGAGAGAGCTGCACCTTTTCTTTATAGCATCTACGCCAGGCAAACTCTTCACCGTATAAAGAAGAGAGCTTCATTCAGAAAAGGACCATCTTTCCCTTCCAAACGCCACCAATCACTGCATCCCTTGTCTCCTCAAGAGGATCTCAACTCGCTCATGCATTAGAACCATCATTTGCTAATACAAATATGTAAGAGTAATAACTTAATTGCTATTATTTCTTTAGGAATAATTATTAACTGTCATAAGCTCTGTAAATAAAGCATATAGATGGTGTTATATTTTTTTCAATTAATCAATTCGATGATTTATTTTTATGGGCTTGTCTAACTTTAGAGTAAAAACGGAATTAAACGAAGCTGTCTCGTATTCTTTTGGGTTTTTTTCATATCAAATGAATTATCAAAGCTCTCTTATAAAGAAAACAATGATTCCTCTGCCACAGAAAAGAAGGCGAGAAGGAAGATGTTCGGGAGCAACAAGACAATTCACAAACATAAATCAAACAAGACAACAAGGACTCCAAACTGTACCTGAATTCCGACGCGAGGTGGCGATCAGTGCTAATCACGCATCCGGGAAGTTTGGCCACCGTAGTAACGGAACCAGAGCTGAAGAACATGGACTGGAAAATCAGCTTTATGGGGGCGATTGCAAAGTTTCTTCGATAGATACAACATCCATGAGCGTATTTGGAAACTTGTTCAAACACTACAAAAAATCATTTTTAACTTCAAAAATGCGCTCGAGTTCCTTCAATCAACGTACCTTTGCCTTTGTAGCTACCCCACTGATGTAACATTGTGTAGGTGTTTGTCAATGCATAATAAACCGCTCCAACATAACTATACTTCTCGACGAGGGGCCATTTCTGTTTTCACAAGCCTAACCAACCACTAGATGCCCAGTGGTCAATGATTCAGAGGCCATCGCTTCCCCGTGTTAGAGGAATTGGCGTAACTAAACCATTTATGTAAATTTCTTGAAGCTCAATAACCAAATGAATAATGTTTTTTTAAGTGTAGTACTATAAATTGAATTGTTAGAGAGTGTTTAAAGATTTTAGAGGAGACAAAAACAAGCTAACCTGACCTAAGAACAACACCAATTGTCCAAGCCAAGAGTAAGCACTCCTTCTTTTGACACCCTTGAACCTTTGAAATATTCCTTGAATATTAATTGAGAACTTGACTTTGATGAATTGTTTATTACTTTGAGAAAAGGAACTTGGTACCAAGTATTCAATTTCTCATTTTATAACCAATAAAAGCCTTTCTATGCAGTACCAAAGTTTCCTCTGTCATTAATGCAATTAGAATCCTTATTTCACTTCAAGAAGCATTAAAGCATAAGAATTAAGTTCAAGCCATGAATGAAGTAGTGAGTGCCTTAGAAAAGAACAAGACATGGGAAATTGTTGATGGACCACTGGATAAAAAAAATAGTTGATGCATATGGGTATATAATGTAAGTATAAAACTGGTGGCAGATTAGAACATTAGAAAGCAAGACTAGTTGCTAAATAATATACCCAACCTTATATTGTTAATTATGTGAAGACATTTNGTGTTTAAAGATTTTAGAGGAGACAAAAACAAGCTAACCTGACCTAAGAACAACACCAATTGTCCAAGCCAAGAGTAAGCACTCCTTCTTTTGACACCCTTGAACCTTTGAAATATTCCTTGAATATTAATTGAGAACTTGACTTTGATGAATTGTTTATTACTTTGAGAAAAGGAACTTGGTACCAAGTATTCAATTTCTCATTTTATAACCAATAAAAGCCTTTCTATGCAGTACCAAAGTTTCCTCTGTCATTAATGCAATTAGAATCCTTATTTCACTTCAAGAAGCATTAAAGCATAAGAATTAAGTTCAAGCCATGAATGAAGTAGTGAGTGCCTTAGAAAAGAACAAGACATGGGAAATTGTTGATGGACCACTGGATAAAAAAAATAGTTGATGCATATGGGTATATAATGTAAGTATAAAACTGGTGGCAGATTAGAACATTAGAAAGCAAGACTAGTTGCTAAATAATATACCCAACCTTATATTGTTAATTATGTGAAGACATTTGCTCCAATGACAAAGATAAATACTCTTAGAATCAACCTCTCATTAGCAATTTTAAATTGCAACAACTTCATATGAAAAAATATTTTCCTTCATGGACAATTAGAAAAAGAAGTTTAAATGGAAATTTCTCCAGGTTTTAAACCCATTGAAGAAGGAAATAAAATATGCATGTTGAAGAAAGTTTGTATGAACTCAGGTAGTCACCCCGTACTTGGTTTTCCAAAAGGTAAACTTACTCTGTTCTTAGTCTATATGATTCTTTCAAGAGATGAACATGAAAAAGAAATCTTGAAAGAAAAGTTTAGAAATTTGAAATGAAAGATTGAAAAAAATTAAACCACTTCCTTAGGAGCTTACTTGGAAAAAAAAACATCTTTATCTTCCAAAAAGAAAAAATGTTCTTGATCTTATCAAAAGAGACCTGAAAAGTTTCCGCAAGAACAAAGTTATTATAAAACAGAACCATAGAACCATAAAGACTTGTGAGGAAGCTAATTTGCTTACCTCACACTAGACCTGACATAATCTTTAAACAAAATCCTTTAATATTTGAAAAAAAAGGTTTAGGAAGGAGATTATTGTTTAAAAAAATGAAAAACTGAAATTAAAAATATATATTAATGCACACTATGCAAATCTGTCACTAATGAGAAATCTACCTCAAGATATTACATGTTCTTCGATGAGTGGAAATTTGATGACTTGGAAGGACTACTACAAGAGCAGAATTCCGAACTATGACACATGTAGTGTGTGAATTGTTATGACCAAAGAATTATTGGCGTGTAAAGTGACACTTTATCCCCCTTGTGAGGAAGTATCCAAAGGGTTTGCGCACGATCATGATGACATCATATGTAACTCGAATAGAAAAAATAAGGCAACACCAAAAAAAGTAAGAAACTACAGAATGTCTACAGGAACACATACAAATTTTATGTACATCACGCGGCCAATTTCTCTCAGATGTTTACACCACCAATCTAATCATTAATGAATCAGATTTTATAATTAGCAATAAATGCAACACGCATCACTCTTTCTGGGGCTTCTTCTCATTAGATTCTCCATTTTCAACTCGATTGTCAAAACCGTGATAAGGAACTTCGATCATTGGCCTAGGAATTGGTCGTTCAATGAAATCCTCAGGAAAACATTCAAAGTCAGGACCAAAGTTGAACTTAACCGTGCAGTTTGGTTCATTGGGTAGAGTAAACATTGATGCGGCAGGATAGTAACGACCACCGTGAAGATCCTTGAAAGCTACACCTTGGCATATGCCATTTTTAAAGAATGATATCTCGCTTCCTGCACACAATAGAATATATGAAACTTACAAATTGAACACATAAAATACAACAAACAGTTCCCGCATAAAAAACAATACAACTAACAGTTAAAAGAATATGTTTGTACTATATGCAAGGGAACAACAATAATATCAAGCCCTTTTCTTACATGTAATACATGCAAGGGAGGCAGTTATTAAATGTCAACAGTTTTTTCAATTGTAAGGGATAAGGAGCACGGCTAATGAAGGCCTCTAAAAAAAGTTGATTAACTATCAGGTTTTCAAGGATTCATGACAAGTACTCACCGGCACAAATTGTATTTAACTACCAGCAAAAATGCTTCAGATATATTTACTATTCTGCATTCTCACTTTCTCAGCCACTTCCAAACATTTCATCCTAAGGGGTAACAAATTAGTGCATCTGGGAAAATTTCAATATAATCTCCATATATACACTGTATTCACAAGCTCCTATTCGCCCATGGCCCTGGTCTCCTTATACATCACAAAACATGTATACTCACTTAAACCTCTAATCCATAAATTGCCAAACCATTAGTATTGTAAATAGAGCATGGGTGACCTGGATAACGTTTGGCCCAGTCTTTGGGGGTGCTTGTCTTCTCATTAAAAAGTCCTCCAATTAACTTTTATAGAAGCCCTATGTTTTGGGCACCTTACATTTCAAAAAAAGCTACATTTATTATTAAAAACTTTCTTAAATTGTATTTGATATTTCTTCTTTTGAGGAGAAGAGAGTTCAAGAAAATTGGATCAGCATTAAATATTTGTAGATTGGGAAAATTAATATTTCTTTCTGCTTAACGTGCCCAACCGTTTTTAATCAATTGATGAGAATCTACTGGTATGTTTACAGCACATAACAAGTTTAATTTCACTTCCAACCCTAATTATTCACACTATTGATATCCTGGTAGAAGAATTTGAATTCTTGATCAACTTTAGCGTCATAGCAAGTATAATGCACCATCAACAAACTTGCACAACAAGAATGAAAGAAATAGACCAATACACGAAAAGAATTTACACAAAGAATCAGATTTATAGCCACATATTAAAGAAGATTTCCAATATGGGGTAGGGATGGAAACTAGTAAGCTAGCAAAAAAGCATTGGCCTACTTGTACAGAGTAATCTGAAATCAAGCTCCACCTATTTCACTGCCCAAGAATATCCCAGATGTGCATCCATGTATAGGTCCCTATCCAAATTACAAAATATCCCACATCCATGATAAGTCCTATCAATAAGATTTGAATTTTGAAATATTAAATAACCCATAGTACTCAGGGTTTGCAAGTATACGTTAAATTGTATTGAAAACAGTGTTCCACATGATTCGTCAGAGTGGAAATGATGAAGGCATATGAGACTTTCCTCATTTTCCAATTCTGTGCATGCCTCCAACACATGTTTACCAAATTTTAGACAATTCTTAGGTGTTTCAACTTACTTTTGTTACAAAAAGAAAGAAAAAGGACACGAAAACCTTATTGTCATGTTCTACTCTCATCTCTGCTACATGTCTTTAGGCAGCAATTGGTGAAAAAATTGAACAAATTCTCTCATCTCTGTTTCTATCAAGTTTTTTTCAATGATCCCTCTCATCTGTATTATTCTATCTGGAGGCTCTGATCTCTGTTTTATTAAACCTCAAACACTGTTTCTAGATTCTTACATACCAACATTTTGCATCTCTGTCTCTGATAACTTTAGCATTTCTCAATTAAGTTTCACAATATGGGTCCAAGTTTTCGTTTGCAAGAAAATGTTTTAAATATGTTCATTGACCTCGATAGAAATCGTTAACTTCCGTTGATTCGAGTTCTGCAGGTTCTTTTAGTCTATTCTACATTTTTTAGCAGGGTTTCCAAGCCCAGTAGCAGCTTCACCATCCATTACAAATATATGACACATCGTTGTCCACCACCTATCATTGAAAATACTGATAGATAAATTGGCAACATTCAGTTTCCCATACTTAAGATCTAGGCAGAAAATAGAACCAATAACACAATCACAATAAAGCAATCCAGAAATAAATAAAAAAGGTTGTCAGGTCAAATTCTCTCCGTCCTCCCAAAAGCATGAATAATTAACTAAGCCCTCAAACACTAAGCAAGCAACCACCAGGTATTTCAGTAGTATCTTAACTTAAAAACGCTAATCACCAAATGCAAATCTATCATTGAACAGTTTCCTAGCTGAAAAGGTAAATGAGAATCATCAAAACTAAATAACAAAGTGGAAAACTAACCAGGCACCACTTTGGGTGGATCTTCCTTAGCATCTTGAGCGCAAACATATCGCTGGCCTTTATACCAGACCAACTGAGGTGTATTGGGGGCGTAATTTTTGCCATCAGGCAAATTGATGTAGAAACCGATAACATCCCCTTCCTTGTAACCTTCCTCTCCATACTTCTCCCTACTCGCCTTATGAATCTTACTCCCATCAATGTCCCGATAGCCAAAACTGTTCCCATCGTACCCAACCGGAGCCTGCAAGTCACCCTTCTCAGTCGACCACCCAAGGCGCGTGTGCCCAGTCCCCCCCAACTTCACAACCCTAATCTCGAAGTACCACGCGCCTTCCACGACTCCGCGCGTTGCCCTCACCATTCTGTAACCCTTGGTGCTCCCCGCACTCATTCTGTCCTCGCTCAATTCAACCTTCTCTGCTTTGTAAACCTTCGACAGACAAATCCTCATCTCCGCCGTGTCATCGCTCTTGTCGGGGAACCGCGGCACCGGCGTAATCAGCACGTTGTCCTCGCCGTTTGCATGGTTATTGTTGTTGCCGTTGTTATTGTTGTTGCGGTTGTTTTTCTTCTTCCCCTTCCGAGTCGACTTCGTCGCCCACACGTTGTTGTTCTTCTTCTTCGATTTCTTGGCGTTCGGCGCCGAGCCGTTCGCTGCGGGAGTAGTCGCATTGTTGGCGCCATCCGCCGTCGCTGGCACAGGCGAGTCCTCCTTCGACGCCTCCGCCGTAATAGAGGAGAGCTGCTTCTGTTTCTTCGGCGGCGGCTCCTCCTCAGAAGCGTCGCCTTCTTCGCGACCGGATTTCAGGGACTTTTTGGATCCGTCGGAGGCGGCCTCGTCGTCTGAGAGTTCGTCAGAAGGGTCGGGCTCCGAACGCGCGTCGTTGGGGTGCTCGGTTGGGGTATCAGAGGGCGTGCTGGTGGTGGCAGGAGGAGCTTCCGGCGATTCGGAGTCTGTGGCAAGGGCGGTGGTTGCGGTGGTTCCGGTGGTGGGTGGTGGCACCTCGTCTTCTTCATCTTCTTCGTCTTTGTAAGTGGCTTGTAAGCTATCCATTGCTAGGGTTTGGTTTAACGGTGAGAATAAATGAGAAAGCGGAAAAGGGAGGCCAGGCTCCGACAAGCGATGAGAATAGCGTATGTAGTAAAACAGAAGAAAGTGAAAGTAGAGAATAGTGAACTACGATACAGTGGGTTTTGGTTTCCTAAGGCCCAAACAGGCCCAAAATGAGGCCTCTAACTATGTTGCATTTCTTTCTGCACTCCCACTCCCATAATTTCAACCTGTCTCGTGGTATGGTGAAATTACCAGTTTAATAGTATTTTTTTTTCCAAGTTCATGAAGAGAGTTTTATTCCTTGTGGTGATTTCTCTCAATAATCATAATTCTTCTCACAAACTCTGTTAGAGTCAACAAATTCATTCAATCGTTGTTCCTCTAATCGAAGGTTGTCGTTCTCACAAACTTAGGAAAACAAATTTTAAATTGTATAATTCAAAAATATATTTTTTATTTTGTACTGTGAAATGTATAATCTATATATATTCTGCAATGTATATTCATATATGGTAGATTTTTTGTTCTTTTCATTTTGAAAGTCTCGTAGTTTAATCTAATTACTAACTTTAATTGATGGTATTTTGTCTAACGAAGAACACCAAACAGTAAAAGATTTGCCGAGATATTATTTAGACTATATTAATATTGAATTTACGTAGAAGAAAATATTAAATAATAAAAATTAAAGAATGGTTAAATTATTTGATTACTTAATTCGACAATGAACGAGATAAAAATATGTGTGAATTTCGATTTTTGTGTGTATTATATTTAAAAATAATACTAGTTTTATGTTTGTGCAATTTATGTTATATTTACTATGTGTTATACAAAAGCTGAAAATACTTTAGATAGAAATACTCAAAAGTGATGAAATAAAAAATAATAGTTTGTGTATACATTTATATGTATCTCTGCTTCCTTGTAAAGATTGATATGACAAATTTGTCTTGAAAATTTTATATAAATATACTTATGTATAAATCTATATATGTGTAAATGCATGATGAATGAGTAGATAGAATGCAGCTAGAAATTAAATATTACCAATGTCAATGAGGAAGTCTTGAAAATTAAAACTAAACAATTATTTTACAATATATGCCAACAATTTTTTTTCAATTAATTTTAGTATGATTTTATTTGTCAAAAATAATGTTATTTATCATTTCGAACTAGCACAAATTGTCTATTAATACTAAGTGAAATTATTTTCTTAGTTGATGTTATTTGAAGTAGTCTTTTAAACTAATATAAATTGAAAGTCATGTTAAAATTATTCTTCAACCAAAATTAATGAGTTTTCTCAAGTAACATATATAAAAATAAATAAATATTTACCAAATATTGTTATCGATGAAACTATTTTAATCGATGTAATTCAAAGTGCTTTAGTCCATGCTTAATAAGAATTATTTTTCTGGTTAAATTTTTTAGTCATTGGTGTAAGTTAACGTTATTTCTAATTGTTGTTTGTCTATTTTTTTTTAATATTAATAGAGGTAATTTTTTTTAATTATGTCATTCATATTTATTTGTTTAAAGTAGGTAGTGATTTTTTGTTTATGTTTTAAGAATTCCTTTTCGATCAATATCATTAATGTTGTCATATTGTTTTACTTTTAACTACAATGGTTTATTTCAAGACATATATATATATATATACATATATATATATATAACATATTTTGATTACGATTTTATAAGCTTTTTGCTATCTAACTTTTATTTTATTTAAATGTGAGTTTATTTTAATTTCTAAATTGATTCGTGCAGAGATGATGTAACTAATACGCGTAAAATTTAATTGAATTATGGTCTTGATGTGCTAACTGTTTAGTTGAATTTTCTGAATGTCATGGACGAATGGTTCTGTTATGACTGAAAGTAATATTAATAATCGTATTATATATGGAAATGGTTGAATATATATGAATAATGAAAGGTTTAAAAGATCGAATGTTTTATTTTCATTTTATAAAATCAATTTTTATATATTTTGTTTGTTTTGAAATCTTATCTATTATATTAGATGAATTATTAGATATGATAGAACAATAATTATTTAATTTTTTTATTTAAAAATCCCGTAAATGATTTATTCACGTAAATGTTGTCTAAAGGATAGAGAATTAATTTAATGTCTAAAAAATAAAATTAAAAAACGCCCATGAGAGGTTGTTTGGCTGACCCGAGAGTCTGACAAATATAGAAATGTGTGAACTCCATAAATGGGCATGTTGATTTTTTCAAAATTTTATTTTTTTAATAACAAAGAAATAAAATCATAACAATAACAATCAATAAATAATTAAAATAAAGTAAAATATTTATAATAAAAACACTTGATTAAATAGTTTTATTTAATCACTCTCAATTGTTTATTTTCCCAGTGATGGAGAGTCTGATAGTCATATTTATTCCTAACCAGCCAACTTTTATACTTGCCATGAGTAAATTTATGATGGAAAAGGTTGATAGAGGTTGTGGGAGAGTAACATTAATTATTTGTTACAATTAATATTCCAAGAATATGAAAATTTCCTTTTTGCAATTTTTGGATTGAATAATTAAAAAGATAATTACAAATCTAAAAATGATTTTCTGTAATATGAAAATTATCTTTTATTCTTAAAAAACTATATTTTTTAGATTATGTGATATAAAAATTAAAATAATTTTTTAATTGTGTAATTATAAACGAAAATGATTTTTGGAATGTATATTTTAAAAGACAAAAATGTCTGAAAAATATTTTTAATTTTCTTAATTTCTCAAACTTTGTGAAGTGATTTTTTGACTTTCGTGTTATTTAATTATTTTTTTAGAAAAAAAATATATAAATTATATAGTTAAAAAAAATTGGAAAATTTTATATTGATAAGTTGCATACTATATAACAAACATGTAATAAGTTTAATGTATAAGGTTTATAAGAAATATGTTAGGTTTGGTTGGGGCGTGCGCGGGTAGTTGGTGTGGTTTGGTTGACTATGGATGCGTGAATTGCGTTTTGCGCGTAAACTCCAATTCTTCTTTTTCATTCTTTCAAAGGTTGTATTAAAAGAGTCAAAAACATGACTGAAGACTGAAAATAATAAAGTAACTGATATATATATATTTATAAATAATAAAGTAACTGATATATTAAAGTCAAATATTTCACTTTTTAAAAGGTGAAACTCACATTATTCATCATTTCTTTTGTTTTAATTTCAGAAATTTTAGTTTAAACATTTTTCATCATATATATATATATATATATATATATATATATATATATATGTTTGTTATTTTTTGGCGTTATTGTTGTTATATAGTCATATTATTAATATCTTATTCAATCTATCATAAAATTATATATTCTAAAATTAGTTTATGCCCAAATCAAACACTATATTGACGTTGAATAGAGGTTTTGAAAAGAAATCTCTTAAAGTGGATATATCAAGTTTTATTAATTACTAACAAATTAAAAGGTATTTCTTTCAAGTATTATTACTTTTATATATATATATTATATAATATATATATATT